TCCCTGCTTGGATCCCTGGCCCAGTCACAGATAATGTCCAGGCAGGAGCAGGGGGAGATTCCAGGGATTTGGGGTGAATCCCACCCCCCAGGCAGGAGCAGGGGGTGATTCCAGGGATTTGGGATCCATCCCACCCCCCAGGCAGGAGCAGGGCGAGATTCCAGGGATTTGGGGTGCAGCCCCCCAGATTTTGCAGATGTAGGGGCACCGAGCTCCCCGGGCTCTGCAATATTAACGAGCTCAGCCATCTGTTATCCCGGCATTTCCATAGTCCTGGGATTAAATCCCGGGATTTCCAGCTGGAGAAGCCCCTGCGATGCCAGGGGAGCTGGGCAGGGATCAGTCTCCTCAGAGCTGCCCCAAATTTATTTAGGGCCAAGGAAAGGGAAAAGGGGCTGGAGCCCCAGGAGGGGCTGCGGGAGCTGGGAAGGGGCTCAGCCTGCAGAAAAGTGGGATCAGAGGGGAAAATCCAAAAGTAGGAGAAAATGTGGGAAAAGAAAATTAAAAAAAAAAGGGAAAAGTTTGGGGAGGGCTCTGCTGCAAAACTTTCCTTTTGGGATCCCCATTTTCTGCAGGCTCAACCCTTCCCAGCTTGGTCAGGAATTCTCCAGCCCCTCCACACCTCTCCTGTCATGAGGGGAAAATCAAAAAGTGGGAAAAAATGTGGAAAAAAAAAATTTAAAAACAAAGTGAAAGAAGTTTGGAGTTTGGGGAGGGCTCTGCTGCAAAGTTTTTCCTTTTGGGATCCCCCTTTTCTCCAGGCTGGGCCTTTTTCCAGCTCCCTCAGGAATTCTCCAGTCCCTTCCCAGCTCGGTCAGGAATTCTCCAGCCCCTCCACATCTCTCTTGTCATGAGGGGAAAATTAAAAAGTGGGAGAAAATGTGGGAAAAAAAATGAAAAGTGAAGGAAATTCCCAGGAGTGTCCAGCCCCAATTCCAGAGGGTTTTCCTGGAGTTCAGGCACCAAGCACAGAATCCACCAGCAGGAAGGGGCTGGCTGAGGGTGAAGGGCTGGAAATTTTCCTTAAATTTTCCATAAAATTTCCAGAGTGGGTTTCGGGTCACTGCTCTGGGAGAAAGGGAAGAGATTAGAAATGATTAATTAGAAATGAGAGTGATTAATTAGAAATGGGAGCAATTAGAGGATGAGGAAGGTCCCTGGGACCCCCTTGGTGTTGGGGGGACATCCCCACTCCAGACTTGAGGGAAACCCCATAAACTCACAATTTTCCAGGTGAAATTCCACCATTGTTCCAGTTGAAACGTCACCATTTTTCCATGTGAAATTTCCCCATTTTTCCACGTGAAATTTCCCCATTTTCCCAGGTGAATTTGCTGGGAGAGGACACAAAGCACCTCCCCAGATCTGTTCCCATTCCCTCTTTGGGGTTCTGGGATTGGGATCTGCAGGAGGCTCAGCCTGGCCCAGTCCAACCCCAAGGCAAAAATTCCAACCTCAAAAAGAAACCCCAAACCAAAATCCTGACACTCAAAGGAAAACCTCAACTCCACAAAAACCCCAAATGCCCCCAAAATCCCTCAGCTTCCTAAAAACCCCTAACCCCCCCCCAAAACCCTCTCAACTCCAAAAACAATCCCACCCCCAATGCCCTCTCAACATCTGAAACAACTCAACCCAAAATCCCTCAACTTCCTAAAAAAAC